TAATTATTTGTTTTTACTTGTCCATAAAGTTCTCTCAAACGATCACTTAAATGGTCGGAAGATATTTTTGCAATTAGTTTTTCGCCTTTTAATTTTTTACTCCAATGTATGATAACTACCATATAAAAAAATGTGCATATAAGTATTTAAAAACTAATATAGTAATTTTTTTTATATATGTCAAATTATTCAAATCACTGAATTGAAACAGGACTTTTTTTATATATTACAAATAAATACTCCATTTGATTTTTTAAAGGACAATTAGAACTGTATATGATATATTGGGTATTTGAAATCTATTATGTAAATTTTATTTATCAATATACCATATGCTATATTTCCAAAATAGCCAAATTTATTGAGAGCTAATTTAACATTTAGCATCCCACATGTGATATGTGTCATCATGTTACTATCTTTTGTTTTGACTTAAAGTAAGTGACTATAATTGTTTTCTTTATGAAATGAATGCTATTAAACATAATCAACATACAATTTCTTAAATAGATTATTAGTACGAATCCCGTGCGTGCACGGGTAAAAGATATCCATTAGTATCTATAAATTTAAATTGTTCATTAAATAATATTTATAAATTTAAAATATGAAATCAATATGTAATACAATATATCTATATTAATTTATTAAATATGTTATATGAAATTTAAATTGTGCAAGATTACATAAATTATATTTATTTAAAATTAGTACACAATTCATGCGGTGAACGTAACTGATAATAAATTATAATATATTCATTTTAAAATAAGTTCATTTTAAGATTTTTATTTAGAAATTCGATTTGACTACAATCTGATTCCATAAAATAATTATTTTGGTAAAATTGATCATATATTGAAAATCTATGTGAATAATAAGTATAACTATTAAATTTATATTGTCTCATTAATTAAAATAAATTTATTTTTTATGAACTATCCAAATAAAAAAGTTTAAGTAGTTGAATAATTTATTAAACTACAAACAATTGACTATTCTATTCACGTCCAAATTATTATGGACCCAGAAGTTATGATAATTAGTTATATGACTTTTAAATTTGAACTCAAATTTGGAGTACGCGATAAATTCTCTTATATATTTCATATATAAATTTGTTGTCGGTTACCTTATCGTTCAAATTTATCAACTAATTCTCTAGAATTAAATGAAAATTTTAAATTGATCAATATTTGTTCAAATTTTTTAAAAAAAAAACTCACAATACTGCCGCCCGTCTTCCAACCCGCGGCCCGAATGGCCACGGTTCCGGTTCACAGAACTGCCGAAATCCGGGCCGGTTCGGGAGCGGTTCAGTGTCGGGCCGACGGGCCGTGTTGGCCCTTGGCTACCTCTACGTACAGTACGACATATAATTTTCTAGTACATAAATCGAAAAATTCAGAAGTATCTATTGGTACCACGATTGAGTCGAGAAATACTAAATTCTCTAAGAACATTTTTTTCTCAAAATAAAAAAAAAAAAAAAAAAAAAAAAAGGCAAAATATAGTTCTAACAAAAGGACGTATCAAACTACTAGTGGTTATGTACTATATGGTATTGAAGAAAAGGATGAAGAACCGAGACGTGGTAAAAGGGTAAAAACGACAAAGATTTTTAGACTTGATTTTATTATGTACATGTTGTACGATGAGCTGAGATACATTAAGGAAGCTCTGTCCAGCCCAGATGGACTACTCCGAGAAGAACTGTAAATAGCGAAAACGATTCCATTATGCAAAATCATACTTGAGAGTTGGTTGATCTCTTTGCAGGTTGTAAATCTTTATGATGCAAGTGGATCCTAAATAGAAAATATAAAGTTAGTGGGAAGATTGATAAGTTTAAAACACAATTGGTGGTCAAAGGCTTTAAACAAAAACAAGGGTATGACTTTTTTTTATACCTATTAACCAGTTACATGTATAAAGTCGATAAGAGTGTTTCTCTCGATTGCTACTTTAAACAATCTTGGGATTTACCAAATGAATGTCAAGATGGTATTTTTGAATGGTGAATTAGAAGAAGAAATTTACATGGAACAACCCGAAGGTTTTGTAGCACCTGAAAAGAGTAAAAGGTGTGCAAATTAATAAAATCCTTGTACGGACTGAAACAAGCTCCGAAACAATGACATTTGAAATTTGATGACATGCTGTTATCACACGAGTTCAAAATCAATAAATGTAAAAGATGTGTTTATGTTAAGAATACATCAAATACATTTGTAATTGTATGTCTATATGTAGATGATATGTTTATCATGGGGAGTAGTCATTAATGATCATGGATACGAAAATAAAGTTGATGAGAAGTAATTTCGACATAAAGGATATGAGTATAGAAAATGTAATTCTTGAAATAAGGATTATCAAAACCCAAGATGGAATTGTCTTGTTACAATCTCACTACGTAGAGAAAGTGATCAAGAAATTTAATACCTATGATGGTCCATTGTCTAGGACACCCCTTGATCTTAGCTTAAACTTGGTAGCCAATACAGGACAACCATTAAGTAAATTAGAATATTCATGGATAATAGGGAGTCTGATGTACTTGTACAATTAGATGAATTGTACACGACCAAACATAGCTTATCCGGTGAATAAGTTAGTAGATTTACAAGCAATCCCAGTCATGATTACTGGAATGCTTTGAAAATGGTACTTAAGTACTTGGAGTACACCCTTGAATACGGGCTAAAATACCCGAGATACCCAACTGTACTTGAAAGGTACTGTGATGCAAGATGAATATCAGATTTGAGAGATTTTAAATCCATGAGTGGATATGTTTTATTTATTGGAAGAGGTGTTGTTTCGTGGAAATCCACAAAAAAAAAAAGAAAAAAAAACTTATATAGCTCGGTCAACGATGGAATTAAATTTCATCGCTTTAGATAAAGCGAGTGAAGAAGCCGAATGACTTCAAACCATAGCCGGCCTAACTAAACCAAACACCATAATTTATAAGCGAAAAGTAGATAGCATGAATCAACGCACTAACAAAAATAAATATGACATCTCGATTAACCAACGATAGATAAAGATTCTCGAATTCATAGACAAATAAAATTTGGGTTCAAACATCTCCTAAAACTGGATAAAAATAGCCTAACATAATAATATTAAATAAAAGATAAAAGAGTGGGAATATAATTATCTCCTTCGGGTGCGAGAGCGACTTCCCTCCACGTGTAGTCTCTCTCGTATGTGCGTTAGTGTTTTGTTCTCTGTCCAATCTATTGCTCCGTGGTGCAGCTCCTTTTTCGTGTAAAAATTATTCGCTCTTCCCCTCACAGATCTCCTATAAATATGTATGTTGGCTAGTTGCATGTGGCTCATCATAACTATCAGGAAATCAGAAAAATTAGAAACTAGTACCTCCTTGCGTGTGTGCTTATCATTTGGGACAACTTTTCTTATTCTTTTTCTCTCTTTAAGTACCCACTAAGAGAACAATGATCTTGGTTCCCTTATTTTTTCCATAATTTTTAGAATTTACTCTCTTACTAGTGCTTTCTTTACCTTTTCGGCTGTAAATTCTTCTAGTCGATTTATCAGGGACTTCCGACGACTTCCTACGAATTTGACTGAAAATTGTCATTCTCGTCGGGTATGTTGTTGAATACTTTTCTCCACTCATCCTTCGGGGGATATTTGAATCAGATGTTTTGGATTCTTTTGCAACTGAATCTCTTTCTGCACCGATTTTCGTTTGAAGGAGGGTTTCTCCTTGCGAATACGCGAACTCAAACGAGTTTTCCATTCGTCCTCTTCACCATTATCAGAGCGTTCTAAGACAGATGAAGTGACAATCTTATTTGTTACAAACTGAGTGTCGATTACAATGGGAAACCTATGAACTAAATATTGAGTTTCATTTCTTACAACTTGAACTAAAAAGTAGAAAACAAAAAATACAATCTAAAAGTGGAAAGAATAATCAACTGAGGCGAATATTGCTCTTTCTGCAAGACGAGTACGCCTTGTAGTGTGCTGACGAATTCAGGTGGCTCATCCCTAAAGATACAACGACTACGTCTCAAAAAGCTATAGCACTCCAAACTTATGAGATCCGGTGAACTTGAATGAAGCCTAGATTTGAGCAGTATGTATATCCGTGAGGCTATGAGTAAATGCAAGAATGCAGATGAGATTGTATTTTTCTGCAGCTCTACCATTTCCTATTTATAGGACATCCAGCCAGAAGGGGATCGTCTCTGGTGTTCTGCCCAACCAGTAATAGTCCACTGATGGTTGTTGTAAATGGACAGTTTTTCAGGTGCTAACTCACCTTTAGTCCACCTGATAACCACCGAAATGGCCAAGTGGAACAAGTGGAAGGTCACACACGTTCAGGTTCACTGAACCTAGTGAGATCACACAAGTTGGGTCAAAACTCGAGTTCAAAATCCAACTCGGTTTGGACTTTAATTTGAGCCACAATTTTGCATATAAATTTGCAGCAAAAAGACTACAGGGGTAGGGCCCAAGGCCCAAGCCAAACAACAACCCACTATTGAAACTTTCCATAATCTAATTGCAAATTGCTAAGGACAAGGTCCAAAATCCAAGGCCAAGGCCTAAGCCCGTGCTCAAGCTGTGCCGGCCGGCCAGCCGGCGTGTGCGTGTGTGACTAAAGTCATCACCAACACTTAGTGCATAACTTTGTTGTTATTGTGACATCTTGAATTCTCTTTATTATAATAAAGAGAATTAATCTTATTGAAGTGTTCAATATGGGATAAGACTTCTGACGCTTTGAATCCAACAATCACCATTTTATATGTCCATTAATGACTAATTTTAATAATTTAAACATAATATAGTTTCTGACCCTTCAAATGTAAAACACAATTTTTGTTTTCACCTTAAAGCAAGCAAGCAAGCAAACAAACAAACAAACAAACTAGTTTATCAAATCATGAATAGTCTATTTCAAACTTCGTTCAATTTTTTTTATAATTAAAACTATGAAATTAATACTCAGTACTTTAGGTTTCAGCTGATTGGTCACTCTCAAAGTTTGATGTGTCTGAACTCCAGTGGCTCTTGCTCTCCATGCTTCGCCCACCTGAATTCTGTAAATTAATTTGATAGAAAAATTATTCCATAAATCAATTATATACCAAATTTATCAATTAGAATGATAAACATATTGCTGCTTGACANACAAAAAAAAAAAAAAATTATGTCTCAAACGGTCTAATCGTTAGGCAAGTCGACACATCATACACTGGAGTATGGAATTTCAATTAAAGTATTCATTTGAGTTTTATTTTTATTTTTATTTTTTTATTATTATTAATGTGGAAATAATTTTTAGGCATTTATAAGTACCTGCTCATATTGGTGAGTCGAGGCAAAGTTATATGGGCCTGAGGCTGGGCTCGGGTAATGCAGCCCAGTTCCATGTGAAAAGCCCGAGAAGTTTTGAATTAGACAATCCACTTCTTGAAAGCTTAAGAACTCATCAGCCGGGTGCCTATGATTTGCTGAGCTTGAACCGGCCCGAATAGTGCCCGGGCCGGGCCCAATGGGCCCGTAATGCTGGTGAAAGTGATGATAATTGGAAGCACCATTTAGTGGTGGTGTTTCAGTTGCAAGAGTCCCATCACTCGGCGTTTCATTTTCAGATTGGATTTCTGATCCTTGTTCGGGTCCATAGGATTGACCCGAACAGGTCTTCAATACGGGCTTTGACCCGAATTTCCTGGGCTTGTGCGTGGGCCTGTTCAGGTCGTCAGACTCTGGTTGAGTGGATTGTTGAGACTTTCGCTCGAGAGGCGAACGCCAGTTGTCGTTACGACATTTCTGTGGGAAAATATATACTTTTGTACTTAATTGTCAAGTCTTTAAAATGTAATATAAACAAAAAGTAAGATATTTCATAGTATTAGTATACATTTTGCATATATATATATATATAGACTGATCAAATAGAAACTAGCTAGTCCTGCTGTGAGAACCGTGAAAATTATATTTGGTGTTATTTTTAATTGTGTATGATGTTATTTTTAATATTAGATGATGCTATCACTTTCAAAAATGTTAATATAGATTGTGTTGCTATTTTTAATAAAACATATCCTGGTTAAAAATGACACTAAAACACAATCAAACGGTTAGACAACCTAACAACATTATTTATGTTTCTATTTTCATTTGAAAAAGAAAAAACTTTTAAAATCGCTCATAAGTATTTTCTCAAATATTAGGGGATCCATACTATACTTTGGAAATTGCTTTGTAGCTTTTGCATGTTAGATCTAGTTGTATTTTCTATATGAGTTTATAAATTATTACAAAATAAAGAATAAAAAGCTTACCTGCAGATGACTTGCCACTTGCATTCTGGTCAAACCAGGCACATTCATGAGCTCCAAAATCTCCTTAGGAAAACATCCTATTTATTACACAGCGACAATAAACATTAGAACATGATCATTAAGCATTACTATCAATGTTAACAACAATATGTAACGAATCAAATATAGTAAAATTAATATATCAATATTAAAAAACTTGAAAGACATCAATAACGTACTTCCTTCACCGAGTTCCTCCACAGCAGCCATGAATTTCGCGTGCAACTCCTGAGTCCACTCGGTACACATTTTTCTCTTAACATTATTATTATTATTCGTCACACGAAGATTTTGATGATCTTGCTCGAGTCCTTCAATGCCATCCCTCTCTCTATTCTTCTTCAATTTTCCTTTGTTCTTATTCATCACCATTTTTTCCAAGTCATTAGGATCTTCGACATTCCTAATGTCAACTCCATTAATCGGTCCATTATTGTTGTTTGCAGCCATCAATATCTCGTCGGGTATGTTGTTGAATACTTTTCTCCACTCATCCTTCGGGGGATATTTGAATCAGATGTTTTGGATTCTTTTGCAACTGAATCTCTTTCTGCACCGATTTTCGTTTGAAGGAGGGTTTCTCCTTGAATCAGATGTCCATTATTTTTGAATTCTCTTTATTATAATAAAGAGAATTAATCTTATTGAAGTGTTCAATATGGGATAAGACTTCTGACGCTTTGAATCCAACAATCACCATTTTATATGTCCATTAATGACTAATTTTAATAATTTATTTCTTATACAAGAAAAATCAGTTTTGAGAAAATAATTCTATAACGAGTAGTACTCGGAACGTAAAATATTTATACACAATTTAATTCAACCCGAATTAAATATTAGTCATAAAAAAAGCAGTCAAAACCATGTCAAACCCAAGTTTTTATAATTGGTTTTCAAACAATCCCCCACATGAGTGATAATCAAATGTATACATGTATGTAGACTCTTGTGCTCAATCCTAACACGACAAAATTGAATGAAAAAAGATAGCTTGTGGCTTTAAATCTTTTCTTAGTAAACATCATCGAATGCACTGGCGGCTTAATGGACATAATGACTTAAACTATTCCTCCATAATGTATACTAAGACAATGACATTCACACTATAGAGCCTTAACTCTATTTTGTTATATTGTTGTATTCGTTTTAGCCGTAGACAATACTTTGGATTCATAAGTGTTTACATTTGAAGCGGTACTCACTTCACAGTTACATAAGTGATTTCCTATCAAGAGTATCTTGTATTACTCCACCATTAAAAGTTTAGATGGCTTGCCCTCACCATCAACATATAATCTACTACTTGGATTGTTTTAGGGAATAACTTTTGGACATTCTTATGTTCTAAGTGCTAAGCTGACATTTCAAAGCTTAGTTTTCCCCTTGAACCACGTTTATGGGATCTTCATTCAGCAAGGTAGATTTATCACCATGATCATTCAACTTCAAGAGAATTATTGAGAGCTCCTGAATTTAAGACTTTGATTTATGAGATGTGGTTTGTGGCTTTATGGAGAGCTTATAAGTATGAGAGATTATTGGAGAAGAAGACATCAATTTGATTGGTGCTTCATGATTTGATATAATCTTTTACTTATCCCAAGATTTTTCAAATCCTTTACTTATCCTAAGATTTTTCCTTATACTAAGATGTGACTTGGTGAGCAAAAATTATTTATTTTATTAAGTAAATATCTTTTTATCATGAATTTATGTCGAAAAATAAATATAGACACTAATTAATAAAATATTAAAATTTCAATGTCTACCGTGTGTTTTACTATTGTCATTTATTTATAAAATATATTTAATAAAGATACTAATTAATAAAATATTAATTTTCGATGTATACCGTGTGTTTTACTATTGTCATTTATTCATAAAATGTATTTAATAGAGTATTATANATTAAGAAATAAAGGTTCATCGAATTGATTCAACCATCAATTAATTATTAAACATACAGTTTAATCGGAAAGGAGTTAAACTAAACCAGCTGCTCTGAAATTCCCAGTCTATCTTCATGTAAAAATGTTTGCCATTTACTATAAATAGTAATATTCTTTGAAAAATCGTACTTACCAAATAAGGAAAGTTTTTAAAACCATTTTTTTTTTAAAAAAAAAAATTCATTTGATAATATTTTTTACCATCTATGGTTAGACTTTTATTTTTATTTTAAATAATGTGCTATCAGTAATTCATCTAAATTTATTGATTTTTTTAATTTTTCATCAATTAATTTTCTTTCTACCTAATATATTTTATTTTTATTTGTAGTGATGCAATATCAATAATTTGAGATTAAACTTATAAAAACTTTACAATGAATTATTCAATTGCCACCTAATCTAAAATTTTATTTCATGTGAAAATATAAATTAACGGATATGGTTAGAGATTAATCACTCCAAGAATAATTATTTATAAATTATAAAAATATATAAAATTTAAAATATTTTTGAAACGCACACTACAAAAAAAAATTGTATTCCAATGGGAAATCCTATGGTAATATATTCCATGAAAATTCCAACGGATATTTCAATGGTATAGCTTCCGTTGGAATGATTCCAACATAAATTCCAGCTAAAATATTCCGTTGAAATGTGTTTTTCATTGGAATTTTAGATGGAATTTAATGATTCCAACAACTATATTTCCAACGGCATTTTACTGTAGGAATTTCCGTTGAAATATGCAATTTCTGTTGAAATTTTTATTTCCACCCCTGTTGGAAAAATGTACCGTTGGAATCGTTAAAATCCAACGGAAATTCCAATAGAAAAATCATTCCAACGTAATATTTTTGTTAGAATTACCGTTGGAATCCATTGGAAAGTTCCAATAAAAATAATAGCATTGAAAAATATCCATTGGAATTGCCGTTAGATTTCTATTTGAATATATTTTCGATGGAATTTCATCATTTCTTGTCGTGGCATAGATGAGGAAGTTTTCTAACTCTGATTTTTTTTCTATTTAGTTTTCAACAATCTGCTTTCTTCTTTTCCATTTACATATTAAGTATTAATGTCATTACTTTTTAAGAACTTAATAATATTTTTATTTATTATCCATTTATTATATATAATAATAAATTAATTTTTTTTTTACTATCTCCGATTCGACACTCATATTGTATGTAAAAACAACAAATAATTATGTTTAAAGTATTAATAAGTTAATTAGTCGATATTTCACATATAAATCAAATATACATTTATTATTTAATAGTGATTTACAATAAGGAATTAGTATCAGTTTATTCATAAAATTAAATATAAATTTATGAATAATAAAATGTATCTTGTATAAGTAACTTAAAATAGTAATTAGCATGTTTATCATTTAAGAGTTTAATATATAATACTAAAAAAATATTAAAATATAAGAAATTTTATTCGAGCATCAAGTATATACTGAAATGAAAAAACCAATGAGTCTAAATCAGTGGGTCATATCCTCGGAATGGGTCATTCTGAGACTTAAGTACAAACGCTTTGTAAGCAAATAAACATATAAATTATATATTTAATTATTATATATCACAAATATAAAATATAAAATATAAAATAATATTAATATTTAAAACTATCTTTATACATTCAAAATTCTTTCATGGCTTTAATTTAAACGATTTATCATCCACTACAAACAAAAAGTTATATTCCAACGAAAAATTCTATGGTAATATATTTCAGTAGAAATTCCAACGGATATTTCAATGGTATTGATCAAAATTTTAAACTAATGTATTTTATAGATCAAAATCAAATTAATATTTAATAGTACTTTATATACATATTAATGTATTTTATAGATCAATATCAAGTTACTTTCCTAATTATGCATACTTTTTGTTCATTTAATTAAAAAAAAAAGTTCCTGAACAAAATACAATTACAAAAGAAAACCACGACATTAATAGATAATATTTAATAGATTTTCCTTTTTTTCCTTGTGAAAACGAAAGACTTTAGGGCTCATTTTATACTATTAGCCTAGAATTCTGTTATATAAAGTACTAAAATAAAAGACTGCTGTGGACAATCATATGCTAACCAAAACGAAATGATTAGCAAAATTTGATATTCAGTTTAATAACATCAAGAATCATAAATTATCTCAAAATTTTACATTCAGTTCAATAATTCTAAGAATCATAATCATATATTCATTAAATTTTATCTCAACATTTCTAACTGAAGATAATTTAATAATCCTAGACATCCATTTGAGATTATTTCTTTGCAGCTATCATGATGACTTTCAAATCTTAGCTAGTATGAGATTTTAGCTCAAAATGGTTCGTGTAATTCGATTTCCCCCATTCAAATTCTTGGAATTTGATCATTACTAAAAACTCGATTCATTTGATTATAATGATTTTGGTAGTAGACTGATTTATATAAGTAGTTGTAGCAGGAAAAATATCACAAACATCATTACTGTAATTTGGTTTACCATGCGTTAGGCACACTAACTTTAGGATATGGATTTTCCAAAAAAAAAAAAAAAATCCAATCATTTTTAAATAATCATTTTCTTTAACTCAAATTTAATTGAATTTTAACCAGTGTTTTAAAACACGTACGACGTAATGCGTCACATTTTGGTCTTTATATTGTATAGCGTAAATAGCGTTGCGTGTTGCGTAAGCTATTTGAGTATAAAAAAAATATTTTTATACGAAAATTGTAAATATAATTGTTAAAAGTCTTGCTAAGTGTCCACGTGTGGATGGCTCTCCTAGTCAGCATGCACGTCCAAAAGCTCACATGCCTAATCAGATAATCAGTGACAGCTCATTTGCTCACAACTAAGAAATGAGTGATGACATGCATAAGAACAAACAAAGGAAATGGGAGCATGAGAGGCATGATGTCCTTTTACCCTCTTATGGGTAGAATTTCAAATCGTTTTTCACCTAGGGCTAGCTGTCCATTCTAGATCATTCCATATTGATGCATAAAAGAGCTGTAAGGAGTCTGTAATGGTTTTAATGAAAAACAGAAGAGATATTTCATAAGAAGAAAGAAAGAACATTACCTTTTCTCATTGAAAGCTTTTGTTGATCTTTTCTTATCATGACAATGCCAAAAGGCTTTTATGGTATCAGAGCACCAGACTGATCTGCTGGGCTCTATATCATTTTTTTATTTTTTTTTCTTTTTTTTTTTATCTACTTATTTATCTGAATTTTCTCAACCATGTCTTCCTCTTCAATCCTATCTCCCAGTTCAGAGACAACACCATTAATTTTTCCCCAAAGCCAACTTATTTCATCCAAACTAAATGAAAGTAACTACCTGGTTTGGCATCAACAGGTCTTAGCTGCTATCAAAGGCTATGGACTGTTCCATTTCATCTCTGAAAACCTAAAGACCCAGAAGAATTCACACAAGGAGAATCCAATGAAGTTGTCCCCAACCCTGAATACTCTT